TGAAAGAATAATCACAGACTGCAAAAAAAAAAAAAAAATTTTCTTAGTACATTTATTTTTCAGTGAATTTTGTGTTGTCCAATAAAAATAAAAATAAAAAATATATATATATATACACACATTCTGAATAAAGAATAATAATTATAAAATCTATTTTATATAGCTTAGAAATTGTTTATATTTAAAAAAAAAATTTTTGGTGGATGAGGAGATACCCCCTGACAATGTAAAGCGCTTTGAGTGCCTAGAAAAGCGCTATATAAATGTAATGAATTATTATTATTATTATTATTATTATTTAATCAAATCTTTACACAGAACACTCTACTGGACTGACTGGAACCGAGAAGCTCCTAAAATCGAGAGCTCCTCTGTGGATGGACAAAACCGAAGAGTCCTGGTACAGGATGGCATCGGACTGCCCAACGCTTTGACCTACGACTCCACCACACGCCAGGTCTGCTGGGCCGATGCAGGTATGTGCTTCGCTCAAAACCCAGACTATAAACTACCAGTTTACAATGTAGGCTAGTTTTTGCTTAGCCATACTTTTGGTATGTTTGGTGCACGTTGCAACTTATTCTGACCATGTATATCTGAATTAGATGAGACCAAGATCAGACAGGCACTGAAAAAGCTCATTAATAGCCTCTTTTTTGTGTGTGTTGGACAGGAACCAAGCGCCTTGAGTGTATATCACCTAATGGGACAGGGAGACGTGTGGTCCACAGTAACCTGAGCTACCCCTTCAGTATGGTTGCCTTCGCCAATCACTACTATTACACAGACTGGAGGAGGTAAAGCAGCACAGCACATGCATGTACAAGACCATATGACCACCAGAATCATAATCAGAAATAGTTCTATTCATAAATGTTCCTATATTACATTAAAAAAAAAAAAAAGTCCTTCATGACTGTTTCACTTCACTTTCTGCGTCCCACTGCACCTTGTGCTCCATTCACTTCCATTCATACTCAGTACAAAGAATACAGAACATGAAGCAGAGTAGATAATGTGTTTTTTTATCTTTATAAAAGGTATTGTTATTTGCTATTAACAACTTTATTAAGAACAGAAGCCCTGGAGCTTACTCATACTTGTTGTGAGGTCCAGTTAAAGTTGAATATGACTGTCCCTTTATCAATTAAATTGTTATAAAAATGACTAATCTCATTTTCTTTTAGGGATGGGGTCATCGCTCTCAGTCGAGATAACCAGTCAACAGATGAGCACTTGCCTGATCAGAGGTCTCATTTGTATGGTATTACAGTCGCCCCTCCACACTGTTTATAAGGTACTTATACACTGTTTATACTGTACTATAAGGTACCGGGTAAAGCATGTAAGTTTTAGTCTAATACATTTTCCATGCATGCATACATATATATATTATTCAAAGAAATAAATTACATTTTAAAATATATTAAAATAGCAATTATTTTAAATTGTAATAATAATTTTTACTGTATTTTTGGTCAAATATATGCAGCCTTGGTGAGCATAAGAGATATCTTTCAAAAACATAAAAAAATCTTACCAGCCCAAAACTTTTGAGTGGTATATTGAAGTACTCTGTATATGCTCCCAATGGACTTTTGCTAGTGTAGTTTAGTAAATAAAATTTTTTTTTTGTGATTTAAAAATATTGCATGAAACAGATTTTTCTAAAGTGTCTGTATTTGTCCAGATACACCTAAAAGCACATCACGTTTACAATGTAGCAAAACGTGGATGACCTCTTTTCCAGCAAATAACAGGATAACATATTTCAGACATGAGCTGTCAGCTACAGGCACTTAAGAGAAAAGTACAAGGCACCTGCTGCCAAATCACTGTAGTTTTAACAGCGGCGATGAAACACTGGTGTCACACTGGTGCTTCAAAGCATGTCGGTTCTTTACAGACCAGAAAACAGTCAAACAAGATCAGAGTAAGTGTTTGTATATCTGTACTAGCATATGAAAGCAGGCAATTTCCCCAGTAGAAAATGAAATGTTGTCGTGTTTGCCCAAATGTGGCTTTCTAAGGATTTCCGACGAATTGTGTTATAGGGAGACGCTAATGACAGAGCCAGCGTTACATGGTGCTATTTTGGGCGAGAGTTTGGAGAGCTTGTGCTGTGGGTATCGCGACGGACACGTGGACTCCGAAGAGAGCCGATCGCAGAACCCGCAAGTCTCGACGAACATCACCGTCAATGCCAAAGTGCAAATTTACAAACATGAAAGCGTGAATTTTTTCTCAAAATAGTTTTGTAAATTTGTTTTATACCTCATTTCTTTCTACTGTACTTTTGTATGTGATTTTGTGTTAAAAAAAACTAACAAATAAAAAAAAAAAATACCCTAAGAGTTTAGTTGTGTAATTTGAATGTTTTTTAATACACTAAAATAGTACTTTGGGGAAAAAAGTACTACCCAAAGTGGTCTTTTACCAACCTTAATTATTTTTATCTTTTGTAAGATGTGATATTTATAACAATAAAATGTGATTGACAACTTTGTTATGTCTGCTCGCATTGTTTCAGATTTTCAAATATTTTTTGGCTCTGCAGTGATTTATTATTATTATTTTTTAAATACAGAATGCACAGTTGGAGGTATAAAGCAGAACAGGTTGAATTTCTTGCTCCAGGGTAAAACAAACTTACAGTCTGCCTACAAAACTTTTCTGCGTTGCATTAAGGTTTATTATGCAACAAAAACAAATAGTCCAACTTTTTATGGAAACCCCTGTGACATTTCATAAGTGCCTCTGCATAAGGCTACAATGAAATTACATTTTATAATAAATCTTTGCCTTTTTTCAATTACAGGGCAAAGAAAATGAATGATAAAGAAAAAAAAAACACTCAAGTTTTTGAATTCAAACAAAATACCTGTGGTGTGGTTAATGAAAACAAGTATACTTCACAGAGCATGTCTTGTGGTCTCTGTGGCAAGCTCCAGGCAGACGTTTTTATCTGCCCACCTTTCCGAGGCGGTGATCTGTCTTGGGGTCGGCGATGATGGCCTGAACTGCCACGATGGCCTCGTTGATATTGGTTTGCAACTCTCTGAGCTCCTCGATGTGAAGCAGGCGAAGAACCCTGGCCGCTTCGTTCAGAGTCGCATCTGGAATGGGCAAACAAATTCCTTGTGTTTACAATCCCTTCGAAAGTTAACAACAAATTAAATGCAGAATGTGAACGTGATGGTGCACTAATTGTGTCTTAAAGAAACATGAAGAAACAATCGGAGAAGCTGATAAAACAGTTTTGCAAGTGCAAACCTACCTCCAGTATCAAATCCTAAAATATGCTTGTCAAGAGCCACTGGTAAACCCTATGAAAGAACAAATAAGCTGTATTTATAAATTAATAATTGAGCACCAAATCGGCATATTACTATGATTTCTGAAGGATCGTGTGACACTAAAGACAGGAGTAATGGCTGCTGGAAATTCAGAAATTAAATATTACTATTTGAACTGTTTTTATTGATTGATTGATTGTTAAATGCAGCCTCTGTGGACATACGAGAATTCTTTCAGAAACATTTTTTTTTTAATCTTTTTTTTTTTTTTTTAA